GATTGAGACATTTGATGAGAGTAGATGTTGTCCTCTGATAAATGGACAGAGTGTGAAAGGAAACATGGAGGCAGTGGCTGACGTCCTCCGCTGGCTCAGTGCCAGGGACGAGACAAGAGAGCTCTGACACACAGCTCTGGAGAATACGATTAACTGTCTCTGTGTGTGTCTAGTGTGTGTGTAGTGTGGTTTTACTCAAGTGTTTACACTAGAGAAATGAGCTCTGTGGCGATCACTGGCCTCTTCTTTGAAAGTTGAATTGAGCATGAACACACACACACACACACACACACACACACACACACACAGAGGCACACACAGGCATTACTGGCCTGATCTTATTTGTACTCTGGGCTCATGGTAACAGACTTGGCATTTGGTCCAGGCTATTTTCTGGATTGTGATTGCATAGTAGGTCAGCAGTTGAGTTTCAGGTGAGGATGACTGAACAATTGGGCATAATTGTGTATTAACATTTGTAATTTGACACTTGCACACCATGAGCAAGACACCATTATACTGTTACAAACAGAAACATATGCTCACACACCCGCTCTGTTTTCATTCTTTGTGGGGACTTTACATTGACTTACATTCATTTCCTGTAGACTTGTCCTAACCTTAACCTTAACCACTACTTGCCTAATTTTAACCCTCACCCTAACACTTAAACCATGTTGCCACCTAAAGATTCATACACACACACACACACACACAGAGCTGTTGCACATTAGGAGTCTGTGTGCAGTTTGTGCAGTTCCCAAGGAAACTGGGCTCTCCTAAAGTGTGCCAGCTGAAGGGGAAAAATCTGGAAACTAGCCTGAACATTCAGTGGGTGTGTGTGTGTGTGTGCACCTTTTATTACACTGTAGGGACCAAGACCTGTTTACACTCTCACACTGTCCTTGTGAGGACCAGATACAGGTCCCCACCATATACATCACTGAATTTTAGGCTGAGGTTAAGGTTAACCAAGTAGTGGTTACGGTTTAGGATAAGTCTCTTGGAAATGAATGATGTCCCCACCAGAAAAATATGGTCTTAAGAGAAGTGCGTGTACATAAAAATATTGTGGCACTAAGGAAATTGTTCCATCATATTAGAAAAGTTTTTTGACACTGTAACGAGAAGAAGCTGATCTCCAGTGTGTGATGTGAGCTTTGATGGGTTATGGACGCAGCCTCTCTGCTACTTCACAGCAGTTGTAGGACACCCTGCTTAGTGTCTCCACATGTCCAAGTATAGGACGCAGTGCCATCGAGTTTTTCCCCCCATGCTGGGCTGTAAATCAAAGGCTTAAACACACCTGTCTTATTTAAATCCATTCATACTTTCTAAAAATAGTTTTATAGCACTACAGTTTGGTGTCAAAAGCCAGATTCTGATGAGAGATGCTGTAAATGTCAAAGGTCAGCGTCCTGACAGGGATGCTGCCTCCCTCATGATGCAGATGACTTCACTCTCCAGTCACACGTCAGTGACTTTTGCCACCAGCAGGAGTTTGATATTGCAATCACTCATGTGTGCGTGTGTGTTTTGTCGGGGCTGGTCCTAATTAGCACCGTTGAGTTGGATAATTATTGTAATAAGTGAATTCCCTCCGAGTATGTGGTTAATGAGATTCCCCAGCTATGTGTTTGCAAGTCTGGGTTTGGAGTTTCTAACAGAACACTGCAGTGTTTGCACCTCACATCTATCTGTGCATGACGAGTTTATATATGTAGCAGTACAGGTGTGTCTTTCACTCTCTGGGTATTTGTGCAAAGATGAGAAGAGGCACCTTAATTTCAAGGTTCATTTACTGTAACCTGTGTCTCTCCCACAGTCTGCTTTTCTGTGTCTCTCTCTATGCATCATACAGACACTTAATCATGATGTTATGGGCTATTTTTAGCTGCTAAATGTCCTGTAGTGGGTGCGCAGTCTGAGTCTGGATCTTTGTGTGTGTGGTGTTTGCTGCCCCGATCAATTTTATGGATCTGATCTTTTGCTGGCATAGCTGGCTTAAATGTTCATTCATCTGAGCCCCTTTGTGTGTGTGTGTGTGTGTGTGTGTGTGTGTGTGTGTGTGTGTGTGTGTGTGTGTGTGTGTGTGTGTGTGCGCTGATTATTTATCACTGTTCCATTTCTGCTCCCGGTGGATCAATGGCAGGCTGTCATTGTTGATGTTGTGTCTTCTTTGTATGCGTGCGCCACACACTTGTCTATTCTGTGATGCAGAGCTTGACATGACTTGCTGGAATTCAGTCGCTCTGGTCTTTTTGTTCTTCCTCTGTGTGACGATGGAGAGAAAGAGGGAGGACACTCAGAAGCAGCGAGTAAAGCATAAAATCTCAACACAGATTAGGTAAAACTTTGGCCTGCAGCCAATCGGTACATTCATTTTTGTTTAAGAATTTTGTTATATTTTTTGATTCATGGTTAAAAAAAAATAGTGAAACACATCCATCAGACCTTCAACCTGTAACCAAAGACTGTTTGGTATTTATCTAGATAACTTAACTTAAATAGTGAATTGATTATCAAAATTATTGATTAATCCACCCCGGAACTATGTCCATACAGATCAAACAAGTCTAAATATGGTCCACTAGACAAAAGCATGCTAAATTCACACAAAATAATTTAAACAAACGCTGAATATACAAATCAGAAAGATGCTTAATAATCGGTCTGAACTGAGCCGGTGGACCAGTCAACCAACCACCTGGTCACATCCACAACCAGGCCCACAAAATGACCTTGTAATAATGATTTATGGAATGCTTGAGAAATAAAACCTAAACCCAGTGTTAAACTGTGCTGTTAATTGGTTTTCTGAATTGAGGTTTGACAGACACACAAATTCAGCAGAGATGATCACTGAGGGGAGGTAGAACCAGAAATGCACATACTGTGTGCAGGAAACACGCCAAGACAAAGTACACACCAAGTATTGCTTGGATGTTCTTTTGTACTGGGAGTGATGATGAAAAGTTAATGGGAAAAGGACTGAGGATTACAGAATGTCTCAGAGCCATAGGTGTGCAGCCAGCGCGCTCCTGCTTAGCCATAGACACTCACTGTGGTAATAACTGGTTTAAATGGCATTAATATGGGATGTGTGGTTTAGGTCCATTAATCTCAGTGTCAAGGTCACTAATAAAAGAGACTCATTTGTCTGCAGCTGCTTTCTGGGTCCACTGTCGTAAGCTGGTCTGGGTTAGTGGACCACTCTTAACGTCTTTACTTCCTTCCTGGAAGACCCCTTCAAGGCCTAAAAGAGGGCCAGAAATGCTGTTGTCAGCTGTGTGTGTTCTGTAGCACCATAAAGAGACATGTGGTGAAGGGATTACTGTGTGAGTGTTAGTGGTGGGTGTAGTTCTTAATGCATGCTTGACAGGAACCATGTGTGAACCGAAGATAGTAGAATAGCTCCTTTCTGAAATGTGTGTGTGTGTATACGGTATTTGTTTTTAGAGGAGCTGTATGTGTCTTTGTGGTGTGGGTATTAACCCTACAGCAGCTGTATGTGTCTGTTGGGGGTTTTGTTGCTTTGAATGGCTTTATACAACGTGTGTGTCGCAGCATCCCAGAGGGAGCTTCCAGTGTGGTCTCAGTGAGTAGAGGAGCTGATTTGCATCCCCTGAAGACTGAACCAGGGGTTTTAGCATGTGGAGATGTGGACCAAGTGTTCCCATACTGCTGCCTCATGGCCTTTCCTGCAGCTTAAAGTGATTACCTCCCCACTGCATCCACATTGTACCTCTGAAAGATTAACACTGGACCTTGTGACAGTTCTTCTATTTTATGTACATTGCATTATTCAAGAGCATTAGAAACCCTAGTTTTCTTCACAATGTTTTTTTTCTGCTGTATCTCCATTAATCAGCCGTCTTGTTAGAAATGCTCTGGTAGGGAGGTGAGTGAGTAAAAAATGACGGACCCAGGTAGCTGACTTCGGTGCAAGAAGTGCTCTATTTATTTACAGTGACGATAAATATGTGTACAACCAGGTGAAGGAATACGGAGCAGAATTGGGTGTCGACGTGAAGCAGGTGTGTCAGATAAAGAAATCAGGGGTAAGGGAGCTAAAATAGAGGGAGAGAAGTGAGAGAGGCGGGTGCAGCCGGGCAAACCTGACAACGTCTTGCCTGTGAAATTTTCTGCCGTTCCACTGGCAAACACATTAAAAAGATCTAAATTTAAATTCCCAGCCCTCATTCTGTCATGAGTGCAGAAATGTTCCCGCACAGTGGCTGCTTCCCTTTGGACTCGGAGATTATTTTACAACTTGGACATCAGGCGAAAGCGTTTAATCCAGAGCAACAGGATTAACGGCCTCTGTAATAATGATTTATGGGCCACAGTTTGCCTTATCACCATCAGTGTGGCCCTACTTGCAAGACTTTTTCTCAGAGTTGTCTCAGAATTTCTAAATCTACAGCACAAGCTAGTGTGTGTTGATACATGCGCTTTGTTCTTGGGGTTGTTATGGATTTCAGCTGCCCTAGCAGTTTTAGCTGTCCTTTGTGAATCCAACAGTGTTAGAGGAGTCAGGCATCATTTTGTGGATTAGAAGTGATGTTTACAGACCCAGGTCTTGTGTGAGCAGTGATCGCCAAGATTTAAAGAAACGCTTCACCTCATCACCAACTGTATATTCTCAAAACACTTAGTGTGGATTCACAGCAGTTAGTGCATTACAATAAGCCATTTAATGGTGAAGTGAATGTCCCAAAATGTTCTTAATGTCATTATCACAGAAGGAGCAAAACATTTATTTCATAAACAGATTTTTACTATTTTTCAGTCTTGGCTTAGATGTGGATCTGTATTCCTCATAATGTGCACTTACGTGCTCATGGTTCTGATTGTGACTATAAGAGGGGAGTTTGTCTGACATGTGGATCACATTGTCATTCTATATCTACATGGTGCATTAAAACAATAAAACACTTCAGTCACAATCAGCGGCCTGAGCTGTGTAACATCTCTTTTCTTCTGTCGCCTCCACCCAGGATTCGTCCTCAGATGGCCAAGGAGAAGATAGAAGGATGCCATGTGTGCACGCTGGTCACACCCGGAGAGCCACAAGTCGTCCTGGGAAAGGACAAGGCCTTCACATACGACTTTGTGTTTGATGTCGACTCGGAGCAGCACCGAATCTACCAGGCCTGTGTGGACAAGCTCATCGAGGGCTGCTTCGATGGCTACAATGCCACCGTGTTTGCTTATGGTCAGGTAAGACAGTGAGGCTTGGAAATTAACTTCAGAAACAACACAAAATGTGTCATAAAATCTTGGATCTGGATCAGATCCAGATCATCTTTTAGGGTATGATAGGCAGCTACACTGTGCATCTCACCTGAACACTTCAGGGTTCTATCTTCATTATAGGCCAAGCTACGGCAGAAAACATGCATTAAATGGAGTTTTCATTGTTAAATTTAAATGGCTGTCTGGTCTGGAATCCAGGTGAGATCCAGATGAAATTTGGTCTGGTGATCGACATCACCACGCTACATATGTGTGTCTAATTTGAAATGATTTCAAGAACTTTTGATGGAGATTGAATTTCTTAAATTCTGCCTCATGTTAAAGAGATTTTTGTGACGTTGACCTTTTTAGTCAAACTCGAATAACTTTTAGGGTCAGTCTCCACCAATGTCTGTACCAAGTATGCTGATGATCCATCCAGCTGTTTGTCTTTAATCCTGCTAAACAACAAACACACAATCTGAACCAAAAACAGAAAATCACTCACTGTACTGAAGTAGATCCCAAAGCTAATGTTGTGTCTCAAGTCTTGTATAAAATATTGTACAACAAATTTTTTTTTTGTTTACTGTTTTTACACCTTATTAAACATTTATTCTGAAATCTATCTGCAGGAAGATAGAGCAACTCTCAAGTACCGGTAGCTAGCTAGATTAGTTCGTCTTGATGATAATAATGATTAAAACTGGCATATTTTGCATAAATATGCTTTTCCTCACTCTGTAGAAAAGACCACGGCCAAAACGCTGGGTAGAAGTATCTTGTCAGAATAAAATACAGGCTCTTCCATCAAGTTATTGTCACAGAGTTTTACTTTCATGCTTTCATGCACACATTGCTTAATTTAGGTGAAAAAGAAAAAAAATGCAAAGGAAAGTTAAAAGCAAAAGCTTGTAATGTATATGCTCACCCAGACTTGCATTCAAGCACATGCACACCAACACACAGTTTACGGAAGTGTCATGAACTGTCAGTACATGCACATAAAAACAGATTACTGTACAAGAAGGTGCACAGTGTTTAGTGCACAGTGTTTAGTGGATAAAATTTGATTTCATCATGTTTGATGAAATGTGTTTCAGACGGGTTCAGGGAAGACGTACACCATGGGGACGGGCTTCGACGTGGGTCTGACCCCGCAGGAGCAGGGCATCATCCCGCGGGCTATTCACCAGCTGTTTGAGGGGATCCAGAGCAGGAGGGCGCGCGCCCAAGCGGCCGGCACACAGCCACCTGAGTTTAAAGTTAGCGCCCAGTTCCTAGAGGTGGGCAACAGAAACATGTGGGGTGAACAGTGTGGATGTATAGCAGATGTATGGCCACGCTGCAACAAATTTTTACATGCTCTCACATTTAAATAGTGCAGCATTGACAGTTGTTTGTGTGCTGGGGTAGATATTGGTTTGTATTAACTCTAAACAGATGGGACAAAACAAGGAGACAAGGGGATCATCCCCCTCTTCTACAAGCAGGAAGAGACAACCTGATGACAGATGGCCAGGAATGTCGGCTTGTGCTTTGTTGGACCTGATTAATGTCGGCCATTACCTCTAACATTATTCCTCATTAGTGTGGGGTAGAAGATGGATAAGAGTGAGGGAGGAGAGGGAGGATGCTTGTGCAGGAGCAACGAGATAATGTGACATGTATAGATTTCCTCCAGAGGTTTCTGCAAGAAAAATGCTTGGGTTGTCTTTGGGGGCAGGCAGTTTTGTGTGTGTGTGTGTGATATGATTACATTAACCGTCATTGTGTAATAACAATTTTGATGTTTCTTTCCAGCTTTCTCATTTCATGCTTTCTGCTATTAGTGCGTTTTGTGGGGTTCCAGGTCAAAGTGTTGTCTGTGTTGATGGTAAACAGACGGGGTATGTGTACATGTGTGTGTTTAGCAGTAGGTGGGAACAGATGAGCTTTCAGCTGACCTCTGTGACCTTGTGCCCTCTCTGGTTCTTGCGAGGCCATTCGCTGACTTCTGAGGCTGCAGAGTTGTTTGTACTGTAATTAAAACACAGCGCTGTGACGGAAGCAGAAAACATCTGCCTAAAAGTTGTAATCACATTTAATCATTGTCATGATGCATATGCATTGCACTTATATTGGGTGGATACAGTTACATACTGATGCATACTGTATGTGTTTGCGGCTCTTGTTTCTGGTAGTTATACAATGAAGAGATCTTAGACTTGTTTGATGGAACCAGAGATCCAGAAAGTCGGAGCAGGAAGTCCACCATTAAGATCCACGAGGACGCCAGTGGCAGCATCTACACCACCGGAGTCACGTCCAGGCTGGTCCACTCGGAGGAAGAGGTGGGCGCATGTGTTGGTGTTTGTACAGTTGTCATAGTTACACTTGATCTCTTTCAAATGTGTTGTCATCTACGTTCCCTAGACATTCTAAACCAATTACATTTCTGATAGTTTGCCATTAAAAATGTGTAAACTTCGTCTATATTATATTTGATACTTACTCAGACTTTTTTATTTATTTATTTTTAATAATGCACTCCTTGAATTTAAGTCTAATTTTAAATGCCTTTGTATTTTCCTAATTCATTGAAATTATCTAGAACATTGGAGGTTCTGTTTTAGCTTACGGTTAGAGTGATCATATATAAGGGAGTGGTATTGCATGGCAGAGGGTTAACTCTGAAGACATGACTGAGTGCTGACTCAGCATGAGAGCTGCCAGACATCTTCCAGCAGGCCTGAAAAGTCTGGCAAGTACAATCTGGTAGTCGGTTGTCAAAAACAAGAAATAGGTTGAGGACAATAAGAGAAACTTGGCTCTAACATGCTGCCTCAGCAAGATGGTTGATTTGTATTTTATTTTTTTTAAATTTGACATCAGATGTGTGAGGTTCAGCTTTCTTGAAAGACCTGTGAGTGAGTAAATGGTTGACAACATGGGGAAGCAGGTCATCAGTGACGGCCTAAAAGAAGGAGGCTGTGACAGGATGAGTAAAGCAGGAGGAACATCTGCCAGTGGAGACGTGACAAAGAGGGTAACAGAGGAGGCAGGAGGTGATTTTGGGGTAGTGTCGTAGTAAATGCCGGCTGGGACAAGACACTTGTCTACCTCTTATTCAGTTTCTTCTCACATAAGTGGCAGAGTAGAGTGAAAGATGTGAGAAAATAGTTTTATAGAAGCGGAAAAGGGAGAGGGGAGGGAAACTGACAGCCCAGAAACAGATGGGCAATGTCAAAATGGGGTGAGGGAGAAGGTAGAATTGTGGAAAGGATGGAGAGACAAAGAAGATGCAGAAAAGCTCAAAGAAACTTTTGAAGAACCAAATGTGTGGATCATGAACAGAGCACACTGTCAACAGTTATTATTTGTTGTTTTTTGTGAGTCTATGTCTTATTAACATTTTCCTTTAATTCAAAGTAAAAAGTCTAAGAGAACTAAATGGCCTTCGTATTGTGTGTGTGTGTGTGTGTGTGTGTGTGCTGCAGCTGTTACAGTGTCTGAAGCTCGGTGCTCTGTCCCGCACCACAGCCAGCACCCAGATGAATGCCCAGAGCTCCCGTTCACACGCCACTTTCACCATCCACCTCTGTCAGATGAGAGTCTGCCAGCAGCCTCAAATGGTGAGATAAGGGCTGGCGATGGAGGGGGGAGTTGGGCGTTCTTACACTTTCATTAACAACAAAAAAAGCAGTCAGAATGTGGAAAAACTACATGTATTTTGGGAAAAACAAGTAAAAGTAGGGCTGTCTCCTGAAAGTCGACTAGTTGAATCACTATTCAAGAGACCTGTCTGTCGCCTGAGGCTCTTCCAGTCAATCCTTTGTTTTTATTTTATTATATTTAATTTTTTTCAGCCAGTGTGCATTACAATAGAAGGCAGCCTCATTAGTTTGTTAACTTCTTATCCTTATTTTTGCATGCCAAGCAGCAATTTGCTGTGGCAGGGGTGGAATACCCACTTTGACGGTGATACTCTCCGATGCATGGATGTATAAGGTCCAGGGACACTATTTAGCAAATTGCTGCCCAGAATGAGGAAAAAAACAAAACAACAAAACCCACTAGGACAAGCCATTTGTACTTTATTAGAAGTGTTTTCAAACATCGTGGTCTACTTTGACAAAAGAAAAGTGTGGCTGATTTTGCGTGGCCTATGTGCGTCTGATTTGCTTGCTCATCTCCATTTGCACAACCATTTATCTTATGTTTCTGCAACATGCGTTCATCTGAACAGGACTAGGGAACTAGCAAAAATGTGCTGGCTTTGACTATTGCATCATATGCAGCTGTCCTTATTGATTTTTAAATGCTCAGAAATAAGGTTCTGTAACTCTTTTGCTTTTAAATACCCATGTTAATGTGGTTGAAATCATCACTGAAATTCATGCCAGTTGATTTTCTGACAGTTTACGCTAAAAAAGAAACGAAAAACAACAAATAGTCGAATAGTCGCACTGAAGAACTGACTGACAGATGACTGGCAAACTTCTCAGTCGGGTAAAGAAAAGAGAGAATAACACAAACAAAAGAAAATGTATTAATATGAAGACTACACAGGTATAGAAGCATTCAAAGATGAGACAATATTGTGTCGACCCCTGCGAACAGAATGGAGGAGGGGAGAACGGCGAGGTGAACGGTGTGGACTCTAGCCCCATCGCCCAGCCGGAGTATGAGACACTGATGGCCAAGTTTCACTTTGTGGACCTGGCTGGCTCTGAAAGGCTCAAACGCACAGGAGCTACGGGAGATAGAGCCCGCGAAGGGATCTCTATTAACTGTGGACTGGTGAGACAGATAGAAATATAGTGTGTGTGTGTGTGTGTGTGTGTGTGTGTGTGTAAACAAAGGAAAGCATGCATCAGTTCTTCCACTGTGTGTTAGTGTGTTTAAATACTACATTTTTTTTATATGTCTTTTGTGGGTTTTTTTTAAATGCCAGCATGGTCAGACTAGTTTTAATATTTTTATGAATGACTGTGTGCATGTGTGTCGTAGCTGGCCCTGGGAAATGTGATAAGTGCTTTAGGAGATCAGACCAAGAAGGGAGGACACGTCCCCTACAGAGACTCCAAACTCACTCGTCTTCTGCAGGACTCACTGGGAGGCAACAGGTGTGCGCGCACACACACACAAACTAACAAACATAGTGTAATCCACATTCACAAAGATGATTTGTATAGTAGGAAAAAGCTCCATGTTTGGAATAATCTGAATGTTGCTGAAGATTAAAATGTTTTTTTGAAAAATGGAAAGTTAGGAAATGTAGTAATTTATTTATTGGTGCTTTGTAGAGCTGTAAAAAGTTAGTCAGAAAATGAAGCAGCTGCTATCTTGATAAGTGTGAAAAACAAAATACCGAACATATGATGGCTCCAGCTTTTCCAAGGTGATAATTAATTACTTTGCTTTACTGTATATGATATTAAACTGTCGATTTTGACTCTTGGTTGGACAAAAGACACTTGACTGTCGCATTAGCCTCTAGGAAATTATAATGTTGAACTTTTTTTGACTATGACATTTTAACAGCAAAATCATTAGTGATGAAAATGATTACTAGTTGCAGCCCTGGTTTAGTTATTGACAGTGGTTTTCTCAAGCCGTCAGTGAGACGCAGTATCAGTTGTGCTTCTGTTAACTGACAGCTCTGCTTTACCAGCTGCCCACAACCTCTGTCTTTCCTTCTCTACCAGTCGCACAGTGATGATCGCCTGCGTCAGCCCATCAGATCGAGACTTCATGGAGACCTTGAACACGCTGAAGTACGCCAACCGTGCCCGAAACATCAAAAACAAGGTGATGGTGAACCAAGACAAGACCAGCCAGCAGATCAGCGCCCTGCGTGCTGAGATAGCCCGGCTTCAGATGGAGCTGATGGAGTACAAGGCGGTGAGAAATGGAGCAGTGAATGGGAAACAGAAAGCAGGGGAGACAGAGATGCATTTGACAAAAAGATCTGAAAAACTAGAGACAAAGACAAGAGGTGATCAATGAAGGGAGTGGAGAGAGGAAAGAGAAATGGCAGCTTGAAGACGAGCACCAACACCTGGCTGTCAGTGTAAATGATGCACAGGGGTGAACTGGTGAAACTGAGGATGAAATTTAGAGTAATAACTGAGCAGGAGAAGAAGAAAGACAACACTAATTGGAGTATGAGAAGATGGTGTTGAAGGAAAAGGCCAGGAGCTTATTACTGCATCTCATTAAAGATCTTTACGGGAACACGCACACTTCCACCGCCTAAAGAAGATTAATTGGTGAAGCATCAGCATTTTTCAGTGTAATGCAGAGAAAAATTGATCCTTCAGCAGAATGTACGTGTGATTAGATGGTTTGTATGTGCACAGTGTAATGTGTTTAACCTCATATGGTCCATTATGCAGTAATATAGGCAAAATGGAGGATCATACAAGAAATTATGTGAGAAATAGGGAGAAAATGCCAAGAATGTCTGCAAAGAACGAGCCTCCACTTTTTCACCAGCTTTGACCTCCAGGGCTCCGTGAACCGAACAGTCGTTTAGCTGGCTTGCCAGTCTATTATGTGATTAAGTGGGTTACCACGGTTACTAGAGGGAAGTGAATGCGTGACTGTGACAAGGGACTGGCGGTTGACCTCGGTGTGGTAATAAGGGATGTGACGTGACTGGAGTGTGGAAGTAATGGAATGTTGGCAGAGGTTATGATATTTGTGAGCTGTGACCGGATCAATTTCAGTGTGTACTGTACACAGCACAACTTTTTTCAGTGTTCATCATTACTCAGAAAACAACAATGGTTACTTGAAGACCCACAGACCCACTCATTTTAAACGACAGCACTGTGTTTGATTGGACCGCTACATCAAGCATGTATAATTAGAATCAGTTTGTTTTTCAGATCATACTTTTGACTTTAACACTGTCTTATTTTATCCTTAAACATTCTTGGCGTTCAAGGTCCTGGTTATTTTATTCATGCGGCCTGTTTGCTTCTCTGTGTAGGGGAAGCGTGTGGCGTGTGAGGATGGTTCAGAGGGCTACAGCGACCTGTATCAGGAGACCGCCATGCTGCAGAGAGAAAATGACACACTACGCCTCAGGGTAAAAGCCATGCAGGAGACCATTGACCACCTCAACTCCCGTGTAACACATCTGCTGGCCAATGAGATCAGCGCTCTGCTGACAAAATCCAGTACGTGAGGGATATGTATAGTTACTTTAAATGTATAAAGACCATGTGAACTCTTTTTCTTAAGCTTATGATCTTAAAAATTTCTTTAATGTATCAAAAAACATTTATTCATTCCAGTCCTGATTACTTTTGCACTGAGTTTCCTGTGACCCGAGCTTCCGTTTACTTTTGACCTCTAGGTGAGGGGACTGAGGAGATCGGGATTTTAATCCAGAACTACATCCGAGAGGTTGAAGAACTGAGGTAAAACACCCTCAGCCTGATACTGGGCCAACTTATTATGTGTAGTGTCCTTGGTCAAGTTGTGTGTGTGTGTGTGTGTGTGTGTGTGTGTGTGTGTGAATGCAAAAATACTTAATGCACTTCATTGTGTAGAAAAAGTTACTATACTAATTTTATACACTGAAACAAACAGCAATAATACTTAGCTTGTGCACTTCACACTACCTGGCTTGTAACGTGTCAGTTTAAATGTTGTTGCTCATTTCAAAATGATTTTTTTTTTATGCGCATCTGACCTCTTCTTTTCTCTTCTTCCTCCTCAGAACCAAGCTTCTTGAGAGCGAGGCCATGAATGAGTCGTTGCGACAGCAGGTGACCCGGCTCTCCTCCCGTTCCCCGTTCCTTTCTTCCAGTCTCGGCCCTGCCCCCGGCCACCCCCCTGGCTCCTCCCCTGCTCCCATGTCCATGGAGGCTGAGATGACGGACGTGTTACGGCGAGCCAAGATGGACATCGAGAGGCTGAAGAAGAAGGAGAGGAGGCAGAGGAGGATGAGGTGAGGACAGGGGGACACGTTCAAGACGTTACCACAGAGTTCAGCTATTCCAGAATGCTTTTACAATATAAAACAAATCAGGACAAAGTCCCTGACAAAGCTCTTATGTCTTCACATCTCCAGAGATCTCAGCTTTATGTAAATTTAATGTCTTATTGCTTTCTCCAAGCCTTTGTCAATGAACCTGTGCTTGTTATAAAAGCCTGAGAGTATAATGAGTACATTTATTTCTGCCTGTATGCTTTTCACTCTTTATTGCCCTTCTTCTAGCCGCATTGCAAGTCGATTAGGTCTTTAGGACGGCCATCTTCTAAATAGAACTGGGATCCAGCCAGTACTGAGTAGTAATTCTGGCTTGGACACAAAAAGGTCTTAATTCAGTCTGCCAGTGGGTCATGAGAGAGAAGAGTGCACAGCCTAACAGGCTAATTGAGGTTGTAATGGGATAGAAATGGGCATAGATGTTAGTTGAGACATGGGATGGGCCACCCATCATGGATGATAAGCAGCCTTATTGTCTAAGAGGTTGCAGAGGAGAGGATAAAGTTGGTAATAAAACATAAAAACTAAAATGGCAAACTGATGGTGGATGAGCTGAAGAAGACTTTAGAAGCTAATGACTATAGAGCACTGGTTTTACTGTGAGGACATCACTGAGCAACACTCCCCAGAGCCCTAATGGTGGCTTTTAGTAGTGTGTGACATCCCATTTCCATAAAGCAGACACAGGACAATACGACTACAGGCAAACTGGATCCTACACTCATCCCTGCTAGCCTGCTAGGTTTAAGGCTTTGTGCACTGCTGTCACTACCATCTGGCTTAACCAGCATGCTTTTCTCCTGCTGCAGTCCAGAGCTAGAGAAAGGTCTGAAGAAACGAGTGAAGCTGCACACTCACGAGAACGGAGAGAGCGGTGGGAACGGGCAAAACGAACACAATGGAGAGATCGATTCAGATGACAATTGCACTGAGGTAGGTTTTATGTGCATCAACAATCTTGAGCATTTTGAACTATCTAGATTAAAGTCTAACATCCGTGTTTGTATCTGTAGGACATCATGTCTCCGCTGCAGGAGGAGAGCTGTGATGATGACGAGGGGGAAGACGAGGAGGAGGGCAGGGAAGAGGAGGACGAGTTTGACAGTGATGAGAGCTTGGTGAATTCAGACTCTGACTCGGATGAGAAAGGTATGTTTTGACAGCTGCCACTAGAGCACGGCCAGAACCTTTTATGTGCTGTTTTCTAACAGGTTGTCCTACTTTCTCTGCATCTCTTTCTGTCTCTACACCTTCAAGTCTGACAGACGAGTTATATAGAAACTGAGATAGAAAAGGGCATTTTATAAGGTAGCAGGATTTGAATCTGCAGACCTTTTGACAGATTTAAAGAAACAGCAGTCACTTTAGACCTGATGTCAGTAGGAGTAAGCAACAGACTTTGGCATGTGGCAGAACATTTTGGTAGTATTCTTAATATACAAACATACAGTATAGGATCAAAAAAATCTAGTGTGTTTCTGACTTCTGCCCCCCAACATGCAGCCAACTTCCAGGTGGACCTGGCTGATTTGACCTGCGAGATCGAGATCAAACAGAAGCTCATAGACGAGCTGGAGAACAGCCAGCGGAGGTTGCTGATGCTGAAGCTGCAGTATGAGGAGAAGCTCATCCTTCTGCAGAACAAGATCAGAGACACACAGCTGGAGAGAGACCGCGTGCTGCAGAACCTCAGTGAGCTCACTCATTTTGCTCAGTGTCATAAGGTTAAGTATGTTGAAAAGAGGTAATTAACATTACAACATGGTTGCACAGTGTCCATGGAGAACTACACAGAGGAAAAGGCCAACCGAATCAAGCAGGAGTATGAGAAGCGTCTTAAGGAGATGAACCGCGACCTAGTAAAGCTACAAGCAGCACAGAAGGAGCACGCACGTCTCCTCAAGAACCAGGGAAAGTATGAGCAGGAGCTGAAGAAACTCCAGGCCGAAGTCAATGAGATGAAGAAAGCCAAGGTAAGGGGAGGAGAAATCAGAGTCGGAACATGCATAAAACATTGAGTGGGAGTCAAAGTGCAGTTTAGGAAGCATGACCTGGCTGCTAATTCCAGGTGGCACTGATGAAGCAGATGAAAGAGGAGCAGCAGAGGAGGAGGATGGTGGAGGCTAAGAGGAACCGCGAGATTGCTCAGCTCAAGAAGGAGCAGCGACGACAGGAGGTAAGGCCTTGTTGGTGTGAGCGCGTGTGTATGATTAGGGGGATGTATTTGCTTTTGTATGTGTCATCAGTTCTTCTGATAGCATTGTTTTACTCTACACAGTTCCACTACAAATCAGATCAGATACGTCAGACTTCAGGAACATAGCAAATCAGATACGTCAGACTTCAGGAACATAAGCCAACAGTATGAGTAATGATGTTGTCATAGTCTGAATTCACATCTCACTGCTGTATTTAGAGGAGGATTCAAGCTGGTGTGTTGGCATGTACAGTGTTGACGACTGTGCAAATGCACAGTCAGGTCCTCATCTGTGTGCCAGCCTAGCACAGTGTAACCTGATTTTTGTATTGTGTGCATAATGCATACAGTGTGATGGTATCATTTTTATTTTTCGAAGATTACCACATACTGAATTTGTATCAGGGTCTATCTTTGTTTTCCGTGGAAGAGAGGTCTTACTGATGAGCATGAAAACATTTACACTGTCGTACTGTGAGCGTCATTCGTAATACTTTAATCTACAGCACCCTGTGAGGCTGTTGTACAAAAACCAGTCCTATTTACCTGAGTAATCTAATGAAAGTTTGAGCAGTAATGCAAGATGTATGTACAGTATTGTTCAAAATAATAGCAGTACAATGTGACTAACCAGAATAATCCAGGTTTTTAGTATATTTTTTATTGCTACATGGCAAACAAGTTACCAGTAGGTGCAGTAGATTCTCAGAAAGCAAACAAGACCCAGCATTCATGATATGCACGCTCTTAAGGCTGTGCAATTGGGCAATTAGTTGAAAGGGGTGTGTTCAAAAAAATAGCAGTGTCTGCCGTTGACTGTACAAACACAAAACTATTTTGTACAAACGTTTTTGTTTCTAGGATTTAGCAATCCTGTGAATCACTAAACTAATATTTAGTTGTATGACCACAGTTTTTAATAACTGCTTCACATCTGTGTGGCATGGAGTCAACCAACTTGTGGCACCTTTCAGCTGTTATTACACTCCATGATTCTTTAACAACATTCCACAATTCATTTACATTTCTTGGTTTTGCTTCAGAAACAGCATTTTTGATATCACCCCACAAGTTCTCGATTGGATTAAGGTCCGGGGATTGGGCTGGCCACTCCATAACATTAATTTTGTTGGTTTGGAACCAAGACTTTGCTCGTTTACTAGTGTGTTTGGGGTCATTGTCTTGTTGAAACAACCATTTCAAGGGCATGTCCTCTTCAGCATAAGGCAACATGACCTCTTCAAGTATTTTGACATATGCAAACTGATCCATGATCCCTGGTATGCGATAAATAGGCCCAACACCATAGTAGGAGAAACATGCCCATATCATGATGCTTGCACCACCATGCTTCACTGTCTTCACTGTGTACTGTGGCTTGAATTCAGAGTTTGGGGGTCGTCTCACAAACTGTCTGTAGCCCTTGGACCCAAAAAGAACAATTTTACTCTCATCAGTCCACAAAATGTTCCTCCATTTCTCTTTAGGCCAGTTGATTTGTTCTTTGGCAAATTGTAACCTCTTCTGCACGTGCCTTTTTTTTAACAGAGGGACTTTGCGGGGGATTCTTGAAAATAGATTAGCTTCACACAGACGTCTTCTAACTGTCACAGTACTTACAGGTAACTCCAGACTGTCTTTGATCATCCTGGAGCTGATCATTGGCTGGGCCTTTGCCATTCTGGTTATTCTTCGATCCATTTTGATGGTTGTCTTCCGTTTTCTTCCACGTCTCTCTGGTTTTGCTCTCCATTTTAAGGCATTGGAGATCATTTTAGCTGAACAGCCTATAATTTTTTGCACCTCTTTATAGGTTTTCCCCTCTCCAATCAACTTTTTAATCAAAGTACGCTGTTCTTCTGAACAATGTCTTGAACGACCCATTTTCCTCAGGCTTTCAAATGCATGTTCAACAAGTGCTGGCTTCATCCTTAAATAGGGGCCACCTGATTCACACCTGTTATTTCACAAAATTGATGACCTCACTGATTGAATGCCACACTGCTATTTTTTTAACACACCCCTTTCAACTAATTGCCCAATTGCACAGCCTTAAGAGCGTGCATATCATGAATGCTGGGTCTTGTTTGCTTTCTGAGAATCTACTGCACCTACTGGTAACTTGTTTGCCATGTAGCAATAAAAAATATACTAAAAACCTGGATTATTCTGGTTAGTCACATTGTACTGCTATTATTTTGAACAATACTGTATATTGTATGTAGACTCTACTAAACGTATTGAAGAAGAGTCTCTCTCTCTCCTGCCCATCAGTACCAGATTCGAGCGCTGGAGTCTCAGAAGCGGCAGCAGGAGCTGGTGCTGCGCAGGAAGACCCAGGAGGTGACGGCCCTACGGCGCCTTGCTAAACCTATGTCAGACCGCGTGGCTGGACGCGTGGCCCGCTGGAACCAGACTCCTCCAGCTACAGACTCTGGAGCAGAGTTGTCAACTAACACTACTGTGAGCAGCTCTGAACCTGAGACCGGGAGGACAGTGAGCGGGTTGGTGCGACAGTGGAACAACAAGAATAATGTGTTCGGATACCTGGGAGAGAGCGAGGGGAGCCTGAATGGAACCAGGGTCATTGGGTAAGATGGGTTAGGGTGGGACACATGTATTAACACTGTGTTTAATGACACTGTGTTTAATGACACTGCTACACTCTGTCAGCCTGCACAGGACCTTTTGTGTTGACCTTTAATTTTATTCAATTTCATACCTATCAGAACCTATTTTGTGAAGCATTTATTAAACCAGAGAAGACTTTTTTTAGACATTAGATGCTACTAACTTAGTTTCTGAATATGATAAAGTAGAACATATATTTTGATTTTTGTCAGGGAACTTGATTTGTAACACTGAGCTTTAAACCTCATCCCTCTCATCTCTTTGTCTCTTCTCAGCAGCAGGAAGAAGTTGCAGCGTAAACCAATAGGCCTTGGCAGCACTGGAGCAGCGGGCACAGCCAGCAGCTTCTCAAAGTCAGCCCGCCAGAAGTGGCAAGCCCTCGAGCGTCGTATCACGGACATCGTCATGCAGAGGATGACTATTGCTAACGTAGAAGCTGATATGGATCGCCTCATCAAGGTGGGTTAAAAGTGCTGTTTAAATAGTTTCTGGGGTTACACTCAATTTGGTTGCTGTAAAGTTAATCAAATCCCCCAGGTTTTTTTGTTAGCTTTTTTGATTCACTTCATCTCTGTAATTGACAACTGGAGATCTTCATAGACTCAGGCTGTTAAAATCGTGTGTGCTTTTGTATTTTTTGTCG